TCTCTGATTGAATAATATGTAGAGTAATTAAAGAAAGTGAGCTCATATTTTTAAGAAAAATATAACAAGCAAAAAATGACTTAGAAAAATAGGTAATGCCCTCAAGCTGGAAAAGTGACTGCGAAACACACAATTGATGATGAAAGACTGAAAACCTTTCTCCTAAAATCAAGAACAAAGCAAGCATGCTTATTCTCACAGGACTTACTCAACATGGACACCAGATGAAAGTTCAAGCCTATGTAGTCAGACAAGAAAATAAAATAATGGGCATACAGATTGCAAAGAAAAACAAAATCAACTCAATTTAGATGGCCTTGGTATCTATGTATAAAATCACAACGAAATTTTTTAAAGGACAGCAACCAATACAAATAGATGACACCAACAAAGAACTATTAGACGTGTTTGGAAAGGTTACAGGACACATTGAAACACAATTTGATGTATTGCTCTACCTTAGAAATGAGAAAGAAGACACTGAAATGTAAAATGAAGTATCATTCATGGTCACTCAAAACCAATATAAATCTAACAAAGCATATATCAGACTCATTCACTGAAAAGTCTGTAACAGTAGTGAAATAAATCAAGGTAAGTCGAGAGATGTGATCTATTCTTGAATTCAAACATAACATAAAAATTAGTGTCCATTCTTCCCAAATTGATGTGCAGGCTTACTTGACTCCTATCAATATCCCAGCAAGAAGTTTTATAGACATTGACAATCATATTCTAAAGCATATATGGGAAGAAGAAGAGGGGGAGGAGGAAATTTTGAAAAGAATAAAATGGGAAGAATCCTTCTATTCCATTTCTGGATTATAGCTGTAGTAATTAAGACTGTGTGTGGTGGAGACAGACAGACAGACCAGTGAAGCCAGAAATGGATTCACACAGATATGAAGCAATGCAGGGGAGAAGGCCTTGCCACAAATAGTAGATTAGCTAGACTAAATCTCTAGGCAAAAATAATCAGCCTCAACCAAAGTCATCTTACACAAAAATGAACTTGAAAAGTCTTCTGAATCAAAAAGCAATGATAAAATATAAGGCCATTAGAGAAAAATCAGTAGAACATCATTAGGATCTAGGGCTCAAAAAACATTCTTACATTAATGCTGGGGATGTAAGAGTAAAAAAAAAAAAATGGACATCACCAAAATTGAAAACTTTTGCCCTACAAGTAATTGTCTCAAGGTGATGGAAAGAGAGACTGAAGGATTGGCAAGCCATGTATTTAACAGAACCGTGGACTGTGTGTCCTGGCTCTTGGCTCTGAAGTTAGAATTGTTTTATTATGCTGTTTAGTGTCCTGTGTTCCTGTTTCTAATTCTCCTCAGTCGCTCCAAAAGGACTGAAGAGCTCTCAGTGTGAGCCTTTGGTGAGCGTTGCTTTCCATTTTCGGAATAGTTCCCGGAGCTGCTGCTTCCTGCTTCAGTGTGACTTGCTTGGTCTCAGAGATGGTCTGTTTGTTCCCTTCGCATTGCCTCGGGATTTCCTTTATGTCTCGCCTATGTACATCATTCTTCTTCTTCTTCTTCTTCTTTTTCTTGGCTCCGTCTCTCATTTTGGTGAATTTCTCTCTTCATTACTTTTCTTGCCAAAATTGTTAAGCCAGGATATGAAAGTTAAGGATACTGGCACTGTTCTGGTGGCTTATAAATTGGAAAAGAAAGAAAGGAAGGAAGGAAGGGAAGGAAGGAAGGAAGGAAAAAACACAGTGGAAATTTTCTTGCATTATCTACTACAAAGATCCCTAGAGGCCCAGTAGCTCCATTCAGTAAGTATATTATACTCAAATGAAATGCTGCATGTGTGTCCTGGGACACACATGCACAATGTCATAGCAGCTTTACTTTTAACTACTGTCTAATTAGGTTTCTGTTGCTGTGAAAAGACACCATGACCACAGCAACTGTTATAAAGAAAACATTTAATTGGGGTGGCTTGCTTACAGTTTCAGAGGTTCAGTCCATTCTCATCATAGTGGGAAGCATGGCAGCATGCAGGCAGACATGGTGCTGGAGTAGCTGAGAGTTCTACATCTTGCATGCAACAGGAAGTTGAGTGGCTGTCACACTGAGGGAAGCTTGAGCAAAAGAAACATCAAATGCCTGCCCCCACAGTGACACACTTCCTCCAACAAAGCCACACTTCCTAACAGTGCCATTCCCTTCAGGGGACATTTTCTTTCAAACCACAACTACCAAGCATTGGCAACAACTGAAATGTCCATCAGTAGGTTAGGCATAAAAATAGAGGTATTTTAATATGCCATTTAATATGATGCCAACAAACATCACTCACCCACATCTAAACATAGTAACACTCTCGGAGTGCATAAAGTTAGGAAAACGTGAAAGTAATCAAATGGTAAAAATATACAGATGGAAGTAGGCAAGTGATCACTAAAACAGGAAGGGAGGTGGTGAGCTTCCTGGGCAGGGGAGAAAAGGCCTGTGTGTGTTTGCCTTGAACGTTTGTGTGTGTGTGTGTGTGTGTGTGTGTGTGTGTGTGTGTGTGTGTGTGCGTGCGCGCGCGTGAGCTTTTTTACAAGATGAGTGGTAAAGAAAATGGGCAAGGTTGAAAACAGCCCCATCTCCTAAAACGTGATGCTGTTTTATGACACACCCCACAGACAGCAGTGTGTCAGTCCAGCATCACCTAGGGAGAATTGATGAAGATGCAGGTGAGCTGGGATGCTTATGCCCTTATTGGTAGAGGTATCATTTGGGTAATTTGAAAACTGTTAGGTTTTTCATAATAATGTCATGTATGCACATACCAATGGGCAGACTAGATACATAGCTATACTCCATGAATCTCCTGCTGAGGCCTGGGCTGGGGTCCTTCAGTTCCCCAGAACTTAGTGTTATCTCTTTTTGAAGGTCATTAGTTCTGGAAGGAGGGTGCAGAATCACAAAGCCTAGGGAGGTTAAGGCTCAGAGCTCCCATCCTATCCCTTCTGCCCACATTGGCTGGTGAGAGCCAGTCACAAAGCTCCCCAACCCCCTGTCCTGGGGGGTGCACTGGGATGCATCTGAAGCTGTTCTCCTGTTGATTGATGTGGAGAAGCTGGGGACACAAGCTCCCACACCAGGAAAGCAAAGGCCGAAAGGAAACAATTCTTAGAAGCCTAGGTAAGCCATGTGATGAAAGGGCCATAGGAACATAGGAATGCAGGGAAAGAGCTTGGTGTGGGCGTTGTTCTGGGACACGGCTCAAATGGGTGCAAATGGAAAGGCAACATGACATCTGGGGACCTGAGCTCCATACTCGCAGGGGACATGTCCCGTAGGAAGAGCCAGCCTCTGATGAATCCCTGCACATTCCTTGGCTCTGTGGATGTGGCGGATGTGTCTTGAGTCCTACACCCAGTGATTAGGAATGACAGGCATGATACATGGAAGTCTGTGGCACCATCCTTTGCAGTAAGTACATCATACAATGAAAAATCATTTGTTACAGTTACAGTGGGCCAATATTTGTCTGAAAATAACACGGGCACTTTGAGTCACCTAGTGTGAAACATTTGTCAGGATTTATTGGAAGTGGGCACCTGCTAGTCTTAAGGAAAAGAATTTGTTTCGTGTTACATCGGCTTTGAATAAAATCCCACAGATTTAAGTGAATGTTTTCTGTGTAGGCATTTTATATCCAGGTTTTCTTTCTTTCTTTTTTTTTTTTAAATCCCATTTCCGCTCAGGCACTGGTAAATCTGTTCTTTTTCCTGTAGCTGAGAATCTCAAACTTTTTTTTTTCTGTTTCGCCATTGTTTTTCAAAGTTCTAAGACTGCATCTGTTTCCTTTCATGGCCCTTAATTTTCTGAGCCATTTTAACTTATTCGGAATTTCCTGACAGTGACGAGTCCATCTGAACCACATGTCGTGTGACAATAAGCTGTAACTCCAGCTAAACAAAATGAGTGTTGGGTAGAGGTGGGGATGGAAGACCCAGCCAAGCCTTCAATATTAGGATGGACTGCATATTGATGGATGGAAAGGAGCTTCAGGGGTCATGGAGTGATGGACTGAGACAGGAAATTTCTGACCATGAGAGGAGAATGGGGCAAAGCACATCTCCACAGACCAATAAACCCCTGAGTGGTTTTCAGATCACATCTATTTCTGTAGCTCACCTGCAGTTCATGGAACTTAAAGATGCCTTCAAAAATAATTTTCCGCCGGGCGGTGGTGGCGCACGCCTTTAATCCCAGCACTCGGGAGGCAGAGCCAGGCGGATCTCTGTGAGTTCGAGGCCAGCCTGGGCTACCAAGTGAGTTCCAGGAGAGGCGCAAAGCTACACAGAGAAACCCTGTCTCGAAAAACCAAAAAAAAAAAAAAAAAAAAAAAAATAATTTTCCTGTGTGTGTGTGTGTGTGTGTGTGTGTGTGTGTATGTGTGTGTGTGTGTGGTGTGTGTGTGTAAAGCATACCCATGTGCCATGAGAGGACAACCTTGCATATATGTCCTCATTTTCTACCTTGCTTAAGACAGTGTCTCTAGTGGAGGAAGGGGAAACTGTGGTTGGGATGTATTGTATGACAGAAGAATTTTTTTTTCCAGGAATAGATTTCAAGAATCAATTTTCTTTGTCAATGTGCACACTAAACTGGCTTGCCTGTGAGCTGCAGGAACCCTCCTGCTTCTGCTTCCCATCCTACTACAGGAGCTCAAGGTTTGCTGACACGTGCTACTTTTTCTAGCTTCCCATAGGCTCTGGAGATTCGAACTCAGATGCTGGTGTGCATGTGGCAAACCCTTTATCCGCTAAGCCAGCTCTCCAGCTCTCCTTTCTATTTTGAATCATTGCTTTTGAAAAAGAAGTTGAAGTAATTCCTGGTGGCGTTCATGGCCTTGGTCAGTGGAAATGGCTTTAGGTGTGATGGTATGTTTCCAATGGAGCCATGTCATGTGTCCTTCTATGTCAGACCTCGGAGCATACTTGACAGGCCAAATGTCGTGCTAACGCGAGGCTTCTCTGTGTTCCTGTTTAGATCAAGTTCGACAGCGTGGAGGTGTGTGTCTGCTGTGAGCTGCAGCACCACTCCTCCGGATGCAGCAACCTTGGGGAGACCCTGAAGCTGAACCCCCTGCAGGAGAACTGCAACGCTGTGAGGCTGACCTTGAAGGTGAGGCTAGCCACTGCCTGTGCGCGCATTTCTTCCCTCTCCTGGAGACATTAAGGAAGATTTATTAGCATATAGATTCCTTTCAGCTCATGATTCATCCAGGTGGTTGGATGCGGAGGGACCGTCCTTCTGGAAAGAGCATTTTAAAGGGCTGTAGATTGTCATTTGGAAGCTCTGATTCCTGGGTCCCTGTTTCCATCTTTACCGGGTCGTTTTCCTGCCTCTGACAAATGCAAAGTAGGATGAAAATGGCTGAAAGAGTTCTTCACAGATGAGGTTGCCATGGTTTCTTCTGTTGTCCTCCCAGTCTCTGCTGTTACTCCAAGGACCACATGGTTATTCATTTTACTTTTAAAAAGATATTTAGGGCAGGTGAGATGGCTCAGTCGGTAAAGACCCTTGCCACCAAGCCAATGACTGAGTTAGACCCCCAGGGCCCACATGGAGGAAGGAGAGAACTGACTCCAGAAAATTCTCTTCCCTCCTCCTCACACACAGTGGCGTGCTCATGCACACCCACATATAAATAAATGTAATTCAAAGATATTAAAGAAAGAAATCTTGAAATCTCCCATGGCAATCTCTTCTCCTATAAAGCATTTGATCTTTTATGAAGGGGACATAGGGTCTGGGCATGGAGATGCTCCTTTAATCCCAGCACTCAGGAGGCAGAGGCAGGTGGATCTCCGTGAGTTCAAGGCCAGCCTGGTCTACAGAGCGAGTTCCAGGCCAGCCAGGGCTACACAGTGAGACCTTGTCTCAAAGAAAAAGTGAGGAAGACCATATGGAAATGCTCTCTATATTCTTCTTCCCCCTGTCTGTCTTCTTACAAGGGTTATTTTACTGAAACCTGAAATGGCTGCTTAAAAATACATATGGACAGTTTACCCAGTTCTTTTCTTGTCCCTGAACAAAAGCAGCTGAAATGTTTTGAAAAGCTGTGCTGCCATCAAAGGACCTCTTGGTTGGTGGTGAGACTGTGTTTACAGTGTAGGGCTCTGGCCTGTGGCAGGAAACAGGGTTTATAAGGACCACAGGCTTCAAAGACAGCTGCTTCCAACCAGGAGAAGAAGGAAGGTGGCCATGTGGGATGTACCTGCACTTAGTCTGGACGGAGTTTCTCCAACACCTGCTCTATCCACATGGAGAAATGGGCCAAGTTCAGGGTCCTGGTTCCCACCGAAGTGACAGCTCCAGTGAAAACGGAGGAAGGCAGAACTGCAGGTTCCCAGGGATGCTCTTCTGGTGCCATTGCTTGTGGTCCTACATTACATACCTTTACCGTCCGTACTGTCTCACATGCTGCGATCTGCTCAGGAGCAGTGCCCAGTGCCTGCACGGCCACTCATAGCCCACTGGGGAGTGGGCAGACTTTGCTGATCTCATTCTGACATCGTCTAAGTTGCTGCTCGAGCCCAGGTGTGCTTTCTTTCCACATTTAAAGAACATACATAGTCAGACCATAGGTAATTACAGAGACAGTATGACCACCCCCTCCTAGAAAAGCCAGCAAGCTCCCAGGGAATCTCAGGCTCTGAGGGCCACTTGTGTGTATCAATCAACTCTATGCACTACAAAAAATATCGAAGTAATCTACTTGGGAGAGAAAAGGTTTAGTTTGCTGTATAGTTTTAGAGTTTCAAGTGTGTGATCAAATGCCTTCTGCTCTGGGCCATGGTGAGCCTGCACATCATGCCAGTGAGCGTGTGGTGGGACAGAATCACTTATCTCACCACAAGCCAGGGGGTGGAAACAAAAGAGGAAAGGTCCAGGCTCCCAGAATCCCCTGGGAGGGTATCCTCCAGAGGACTCTTAAAGTCTTGCCTCCTAACCCCTCAAGTTGTTAATATTTATTTATTTTTATTTTATATAAACTAACATAAAATTTCTTGTTTGTGCCTGGTGACCACAGAAGCCAGAACAGGATGGAATGGGAATTACATGAGGTTATGAGCTGCTGTGTGGGTGCTGGGAATCAAACTCTGCTCCTCTATAAGAGCAGCAAGTACTCTTAACTGCTAAGCCGCCTCTCCAGCTCCAAGGATCCAGCTTTTAACAGTGGACCTTTGGCAGAACATTTAGCCAAACCATCCCGCTAGTTCTTTAAGCTCATGGGTTATATAGAGTATTTGGTCTGTTACCCCAAAGCCCTGGACTTCTCCTTGGAATCTTTATTCAGTGAGACTCAGGACCCACATACACGAGCCCTCTAAGGAGCTGTGAATTGAAGTTTGGGAATGATGCTATCTTTAAGGTGCAGGCTCAAGTCTGGGGTGGCCTGGACTGTGCAGTCTCATCCGTGTGCACTGTACTAGTACCTTGATGAGAGATAAGGCAATGGGGAATTTGTTTACAGGTTAGTCAAATGGAATGAAGTCCAGGAATTCAAACCAAGGCTGGCTGGCCTACCTGACTGTTAGAAGCTGGTCAATGACTCTTCCTCATGTAGATGCAGATACCCTGGATGCTGGTAAGAGTTGAAAGGCTCTCCCAAACTTTTTTTTTTTTTCAAAATAGACTCAAGGCAGAAACTATCAGAGCTGATGGCAGGAGGCTCAAAGGAGACAGGTTGATGCCCACATTGGGAGGGTGATGACCTAGCCATAGCAGTGACTGGAATTAGGAGAAGAGGGACCTTGCCCCTGTCCCTGAATGGAGGCCTCTGTAGGGAGTAGTGGTGCCGTGAAGAAAACTCGCTGTTGCCTGAGAGCAGCAAGATGGAGACCTTTGGACTGTCTGTCTGTGGCTTATTGCTGTCTTCCAGTTTTGTTATTCTTCTGGACTTGTCTCTATTATCCTATGTCCTTAGAATTTCCATATACACTTTAGATTATGCTTGTCAGTTTCTATGGTGGCCCTGCTGGGATTTTGATTGAGATTGTGTGGAACCTACACATTGCTTTGGATGTGTCTATTTAGGTCTTCTTTTATTTCAACAGTGTTTATTATCTTCATCAGCATGTAATTTTCAGTTTATAGATCTCCACATATTTTGAGATATTTGTCCTTTCCCCCATTTATTGGTGCTATTTTCATAATACTTTAGAATCATCTCATATTGTTATGTCTGAATTTGATGCTTGTTACTGACCTTGTGTCCTGTGATCTTGCTAAAGTCGGTTACTAGCAGTAGGGACTCTTTGGTAGCTGATGTTTTGCTAGTGCAGAGGCTGTTTGACATCTCCTATTCTGTATTAGCCAGTGTTGTCTAGGGAACAGACCCAGCAGGGCACTTATAGACATAAATACACTCGAGGGATTTGACTAGGGCTGTCCACAGTCAGAGACCCTGGGGTTCTAGCAATGGAGCACACTCCAATGCCAAAAGCTTTCGAATCAAGGAAACAGATTATAACCCTCAGCCTAAAGCCAAAGAACCTGGGAAGCCTCTGGCATAAGACCCAGAGTTCAGAGTCTTGGAGTTCTTCATGTCCCAGGCAGGAGAGGACTGAGAAAGGGGGACCTCACCATCACGTTTTGTTGTGTCTGAGACTCCAGCTGATTGGATGGTGCCTAACCACACTAAGATTTGACCTTCCCATGTGCTCCATGACTCATGGGCAGCTCCCCTTCCCAGACACACCTGGAAACGTTGCTTTACTGGTTCTCTAGGCATCCTTCATCTAGCCCATCAGCACCTGAAATGCCCTCTCCACACTCCACTCTGGATGGCTCATTCCCTCTCCTTGCTTTTTTGCTGTAACTGGGAACTCCAAGACACTGCTAGATGGAGATGTGAAGGGCACATGTTCTCTCCCTGTTCCTGACTTTAAAGCTTAAGAATACCGTTTGCTCCAAATCGCTCAGCGATCCCCATCACTGGATAGTATAATCCACTCCTATCCATGAGAGGATGTTGGATTTTGTTCTTTTCTTACAGCATCTATGTAGGTCATCTACGTATGGAAATCAGGCTCTCAAAAAACCAAATAATACTGATGTATCCCAGCAGGCAGTGGACAGAGCTAAAGCTCTGGAATCCAGCCCTATTCTACAGTTTGTTTGTTTATTTTTCAGCCTCTGTAGTTTGAGCAGTGGTATTGAATTCTGTCAATGTCACCATCAGTCTCTCTGGATTCTGTGTATGTGAGCATCCTTGGGTGGTCTCTGGGTCCTTGATTACTGAAGGGAAGTTTCTATTACAGTTTAAGCGTACTTAGAGATGCAGCTATTGCAGACAGCCCCTGGGCCATTCTTTGGTAAATGAGCTCTTGCAGTTTAACAGGACAGCTGTGTCAATCACGTCTTAGGACATCTTTGCAAACATGCTTTGCAAACCTTTGCCTTCTTGAGATAAGAGGAAAGGGATTCAACTGAAACAGGCAGGAGTACAAGCAGAGCTCAGTAAAATTTTAACACATCTTAATCCTACAGCTCTACTTAATCCTGTGGCTCTCAGGCAGAACCGAGGAAGCCTTCCTAGTGCAGGGCAGCAGCATCACAGAATACTAAACGTCTAGCCTATGTTCTTCATTTCCTCTTTGATCTTATACTCTTATCATCTGCAGTCTGATAGCATGGTGACAGAAAGTGACTTCTCACTGGTGAGCCAACCTGACACCCCTAAACTCTTCTCAGTCACCTCCCTTGATTATATTGATGGCCCTATGTAGATGTAATTCTGAACAGTTTTACTAAATAAGAATCATAGAGCCAAATGCAGAGTTAAAAGCCCCAGAGGTCAGAGCAGTAGCTAAGAGCTGAGACCAATACCACCTTCTTACCATCCGCTGCTGCTACAGTCCTCCCCCTGAGAAAGAGACCTACTTCCTGTGTGTCTGTCTTTTTATTGACTTTCTGTTCTGCCTTCTCATTGGTTGTAAACCCAACCACATGACCTCCTCGTCACTGCCTGTCTATACAGACCTCCAGGTCTCTATGGTTGGTATTGAGATTAAAGGCGTGTGTCTCCATGCTGGTGATGTCCTTGAACACACAGAGATCTGCCTGTCATGTGATTGGGATTAAGGACATGTACTACCACTGCCAGACTTCTACTA